GTGTCACCCCGAAAACCGCGTGAGAATAGCATACAACATGGTGCCATACAGTGCGACACAATACAGGAGTGACACGTGTCACCCCGAAAACCGCGTGAGAAAAAGCAACTGTTCCACTCGTATTCTGGACGCAAGCATAGGGCCATACAGCGTGAAACAAGACAGGGGTGACACGTGTCACCCCCCGATAACACCGTGTGGCAAACCAAATGTCCAACTCGTACCCTGGACGCCACCATGGGTCCAAACAATGTGCAACATCACAAAAGGTGACACGTGTCACCCCGTAAACCGTGTGAGAACAAAAAACAGTGTTCCACTCGCATTCTGGACGCCAGCATGAGGCCATACAGCGTGAAACAACACATGGACCCAGCTGGTTCATGCTGGGCCCGCTGGCTCGAAACGGCGCGGCGGAAGAATATGGCATGACCAAGCTGGGCCATGCGATGTTTCTCTGCCAAGCGGGCGCCTCCTCTACAGCTCCCAGGAACCCACCAAAGTGAAGCCAGCTGCGACGACGAATGAACTTGCAGGGCTGGGCAAGTACAGGGCGCAAGAGCGCCCTGCTGCGCGGGGGCGAGCTCGAGTGAACGCGTCATTTTCATTTTAAAAAAATCGGGACCGGTGGCAATGACGAGTTAACAACCAATGACGTGCCCAGGAACGTGAAGAGCGCATGGTTGAAATCGAGAAGACCTGAACGTGTCTAAGCTCCGTGAGCCACCACGTAAACTCAAACGACAAGAGGAAGAAAAGGGAGCAGAGGGGACGAGGCGGACAGAGGAGAAGGAAGAGGGAAGGGGAAGGAGGAGAAAAACACAAATAGGCCGCGAAGCATTTGAGCAGCCTTTGCCTGACGCCAGACCAAGTGTGGCCAGCGGGCCCCTGGTGAAGATTATCACCGAAGTGCAGCAACTAAGATGTAGCCCTAGACATGCACATGCTAAGGGAAGGAACGAAGGAGGGAGGGAAACGGGGGGGGGAGGCGGCTCCCGCAAGACGATTCCCGCCGCTCGGTGCAGGGCCGTCTTCCCGGCGTGGACGGCCTGCCCGAAGAGAAGAATGCGGGCTGGCGATTTCCGCCCCATGCGAGAGAGAGGACCGCCACCCGTGACAATTATTGCCCGGGTGTGGCGGAAGCTACTTGTTCCGATGGTGATTTGCTAACCCACCACAATTGGCTGCCTGGCGGGCCCTCAGGCCGGCTCAAACAAACTACGCCACGATTGAAACAAGGAGGAGGGGAGGAGGGGCGGAGGACGGAGGAGGGAAGGGGGGAGCCTCGCCCTCGACAAGCGACTTGGCTGCACTGCGGGCCCTCAGGCCGGCCCGAACAGACTACGCCCCGATTGAAACAAGGACAGAGTGGCACCACGATTATTCGAATCCAAACTTTATCGCCGAGCGTCCTGTGGCGAATCCAGTGCCTAAGAAAAACCGTGTGCGGGAGGTGCCTGCACAGCCTGGCCCGACCACCGGGCAATGGCGACAGCGAACGCACCCGAGCTCGTATCGGCCACGCGGCCTGCCAGGGGTGAGCGCAATATCTAGCACAGCCTGTAGCATGGATCACGCTCCCGGGGTCGCAGCGGAGGGGGGACATTCGGCCACTCGGAGCGTCCGGCGGCGGGACGGCGCCTGCGGCGTCGCGGGGCCTTTCCTCCGCCCGGCCAGGACGCGAGGCCATTCGCATGCCAGGGGGAGGAGCGTCAACGCGTCATTGGTTCACAAGCGGCGCGGCCGCACTCAGGACATCGCAGAGTATACCGTTCGCCGCGGCGCCGGCGGCGCGGCGCTGGAAATCGCAGCCTTTCCCTTAAGCATAATGAACCCCCAAATCTAAAAGGACACATGGGTACCCTTGACCAGAGCCGAGACCTCCCCGCCCGCGGCGCGACGCGCCCAGAACGCCGCGGGCCAAGCCACCGACACCCGCGGAAATCACAGGACACGGGGGTACCCTTGCCCCGGGACTGCAGAGGAAACGACGCGCGATGCACAGGACACAAGAATACCCGTGATCTGGCAGGGTCGACCTACTACTCCGGGCCAACTGTAGTGGAAAGGAGCCGAAGCTTGGCTACCAACGAAGAAGGTAGGAGGTAGACGTGAAAAGAATGAGATGCAATTTCCAGAATCGTCTGAAACAATTGATACGTGACTATTACGGGCACGAGAGGTTAACCTCGCGTGCTCCAGGATCGAAATGGCGGCGGCAAGGGGGGCCGATTGAAAGGGCAAAGAGAATGCGTATCTACTGCTCGAGTAGAATGAGCAGAGCAACTCTGAGTGCAAGGGGGTCTCAGTCTGAGTGAGTGGGGGTGCCAGTGAGCCTGACTACCAGTGATTCTGAGTCTGAGTGGGGGAGGGGTAGGACGCGGGCGAGGCGAGTGAGGCAAAAGCGTGGCACCAAATAACAAGAACCCCCAAATTCAGGAAATGGGAAAAGCTGCCCAACTGGGCGTAGGTGGTTCAACGGATGTTGTCTTGTCTCTCTGCCAAAACCCCTCCTTCCCCTTGCTCGGGGGAAGGGATTACCAATGTTCCCTCTTGATATACACCCCCTCCCCCAGGCGACCAGCAGTCAACCAGCAACAATGCCGACCCGATGCTCCCCACCCCGAACCATTCCTGGCAAAAAAACGAACAAACAAAAACAGTATGCCTCCAAATTCGGAGCATGCGCAACCAACCCGATGCGGACCCCCCCCATCCCTCTCAACAAAAATGCACAGTACACTTTGGGGCAACGTCTTGAGTCATGTTCGTGAAGCCCTCGAGCACTTTGTACCGTTTATTTTTGGGCAGGGGCGGCGCGGGTGTAAGGCCACAATCGATTCCAGCTATCGATTCCGACCCCCAGCTATCGATTCCGACCCCCAGCAGGAGCAGCAGCTCCAACGCAGCACTGGCGGAGGGCGGGGACGATACAGCAATACCGAGGGCGACCTACCTACATGTTTTCAGCCTCAACACCCTCCACGGCAGCGACAGGTCACAACCAAGCAGCACGATGCGACAACACCTACATCAAGGACGGTGCATGCAAACGCTGACGACCAAACAGAGGATACTACCGCCTTTCTGGAAAACCGCATCGATGAAGCAGTGACCATAATCCACAAAAACGCCCGGAGCCTCACCAATGACGCGGCGATCGATTTACTGATACATGAGCTTTAGGCAGAGCCTAGGTGATGAATTACACCCATGCTAATGATATGATATGCTATGCTGCGCTATGCTATGCTACGCTATGCTATGCTATGCTGTGCTCTGCTATGCTAAAGCTCAGCGAAGCTAAGATGAAGGTAAGCTAAGCTACGATAAACCTGAGCTAGGATGAAGCTAAGCTAAGCTAAGATGAAATAAGCAAAGCTAAGATGAAATAAGCGACGCTAAGCTAAGGGGACATCACTGGGGGAACCACGGGGCGGATGCCGGGGGAACCGCCCGGGGCGTTTTCCACTGCCCGACCCTTTAAGAGAACAGGGTAAGAACCCTTCTAGGCAGAGCCTAGGTAGGGAATGAAAGTTCAACAACAACAACAAAAAATTGGGGCTCCCAGGGGGGATCGACGAACTGCCACACCCACGTGAGCCCTAAAAAGCCTCCGAGGCACCCCCAAGGCGCTGACAAGAGCCCCCAGGAAGGCCCTAAAAACACCTCAAAAGGCCCCCAGGACATTCAAAAGGCCGGGAATGTCACACGCAACGGCCTCCCTTATCCCCTCGAATAGTCGCCACCCAACATGCTGGACTGGCACGGTGGCGGGGCTTGCCGAAGGCAGCTGAATAAACAAGATCCTTGCATATCATCCTTCCTCCTCTTCTGCATCGGGTTCCGCATCTGTTTCCTCCTCATCCTCCTCCTCAGCCTCCTCGTCCGTCTCCTGTTCATCATCATCATCATCATCATCATCATCATCATCATCATCAGCATCATCATCATCATCATCATCGTCAGCATCATCATCATCATCATCATCATCATCATCATCATCACCATCACCATCATCATCATCATCATCATCAGCATCATCATCATCATCGTCATCATCATCATCATCATCATCATCATCATCATCATCATCATCATCATCATCACCATAATCCTCATCACCAGCAGCAGCAGCAGCGGCATCGTCACCATGATCACCATCGTCATCAGAATCATCATCCCCGTTTACATCACCATGACCACCATCATAATCAGAATCACAACCAGCATCAACATCATCAGCATCACCATCACCATCACCACCACCGCCATCATCATCGTCATCATCAGCATCATCAGCATCATCCTACGTACTCCTCATCATCCTCCTCTTCCTCCTCCTCCCCCTCCTTGTCCTCCTCCTCCTCCAACTCCTCCTCCTCCTCCTCCTCCTCCTCATCATCATCATCATCATCATCATCATCATCATCATCATCATTCCTCCGCCTCCTCCTCATTTTCCTCCTCCTCCTGCTCCTCCTCCTCCTTCCCCTGCGCCTCCTCCTCCTTCGCCTCCTGCTTCCCTCCTCCTTCTCTTCATTTTCCCCCTCCTCCGCCTCCTCCATTTTCTCCTCCTCTTCCTCCCCCTCGTTCTCCTCCTCATCCTTCGCCTACTCTTCCTACTCTTCCTCGTTTGCTTGTCGTGCCTCTTTCCCCCTAATCCTGTCCCCCCTACCAAAAGACCCAAAAAACGATGGACGGAAGATCCGTCCGAGCTGTCGGACGCGGAGTTGCGCCAGACCTCCTCCCGCCCGCGATCAACCTGGCCGCAGTCGATGCAATTCATTTACGCCGATCGATGTCGTCGGCGTGCCCCCTTCCCTCCTCGATCCTGTGGCTTCCTCATTCTCCCCCCTCGCGCGGGAAAGTCACGGCGCCTCCACGCTCGTCGATTTCTCGTTCGAATTCTGAGCCTCGACGATGCCATTGGAGACGCGCGCCTTTGACGTCTGCCGCTCCACGTCGCCGCGAGCTCCCCCGCGGGGCTCGCCGCGGTCCTCGCGGGGGCTCCGGGTGCCTTTTTTTCAGGTCTGCGCGGAGGCTCGTGAAGGCCGCCAGAGGCCCCGTCCTTTTCCACTTCATCCCCGGCACCCCCTATCCTCACATCTGCCCCCTTCCTTGTTCGTCCTCATCCCCCTCTTTGGGATTCGAGCTGCGGACGGTTCTGTCAATGCTAGAGAGCTCCATCGATGGTATCCCTCGTGGCCTGCGCCAGGTGGAGGCGACGAGGCGGGAGAAATCGCCCAGGGACGTACCCAACCGTTTGCACACATGGATGAGGCGACTATACAATGCACAGCTCATTTCAAACAAACATGCTGAGGGACCCGCAGTGCGCGTGAGCCCCCCGAAATTCGCAATGAAGCACGCACGAAAGAGCAAGATAGACGCCTGGACAAACGCGTCCAAAAGGGGTGTGAAGGAGGGACATACATGCTCAGAAAAAGCAAGGGTGCCGAACGCTACATACGCGGAAAAAAACAACACCACGCGCTCGATCTATAACCGGATGCAGGCCTATATCGTTACCTGGCCGACCAACAACCAGAATCCCAAATCGGGGGGACATGCATTACATTTACGCATGCCCCCAAAACAATAATTCACAAACATTACTACATCAATCCAGGCGCCAAAGTACAACGACTTCGCGTTGGCGGGGCGAGCGGGGCGAGCGGGGGCAGCGAAAACACGTGGGCGGGGGCCGCGGACCTGTCACAAAAACATGTTTATAACTTATACAATATAGTTATAGCCCCGGGCGGACGGGTGGGGGCGCGGAACGGCGAAAGCCATCGACGCTGTCGGCCCGCATGACAAGGGCGCGCGATGAGGACGCAATGGCCATGGACGCCCACCTCGAAACTTCTCGAGCGCGGCGCGGCCAACGAAAGTGGCCAAGGACGGGCCGAAAAGGCAAGGAAGCAGGGGTACCCTTCGGATGTTTACCACCCGCACCATGCGCGGGCGCAAATGATGATATTTCCTACGTCCGCCCATTCGGGAAATTCCTCAGAAGCCGCGGAACCATCGGGTGTCATTCGAAATCTGCTATCGTAGAATATCTTCCCATGGAAGAACATGATCTCATTCCACGCCTGTCCGTGATCTGGGTGGACAGTCCAAAATTTGCCTGCCACCGGCGGGGAGCGCCGTCTATCCCATCTTCTGATCGTCCAAGGCGAGCCGGCGTGTTCGATTCCAACTCAGAGTTGACCTGCTGCCCCAAGGAGCGAAAACACGATTTCTGGAGGTCCCTCAAGAGAAGCGATACGAAGGAACCGTTCAGAAAAAATGTAGTCAGCACAATCCAACAAGCCTTTGTCTTCCTCTGGCACGCATATCTTCCCAGATCGCGACCGAATCGCCGCATCCTCTGTGTTGACATACAACAATATCCAACTCCAACAATAGTGGCCATGCCCGCCTTGTCCGGCAGAATCAGCGCCAGTGATTCCCAGGATCTTGACCGCGTCCGGCAGAAGTGTCAACAACGCATGAATTGCTAGCGGGGGCGCGCGGTAGTCGCATCCATCCATGTTCAAGCAGTCCAGAAGCGGAGCAAAGTGGCACTACCTCTCGGAATTAGCGACGGCGCATGTGGAGTGTGGAATGCGCACGATGATTTCGCCTAGCACTTTGGCTTCCCCCTCGCTCCTCTGACTCATCTGGGCCCAAACTGATGCGCCGCCGCCCCCGCGTGCATCGGTGCAAGCCCCCCCAGATGCATTCCCAAGCTTCTCTCAAAGATCTCGCGCGATCCCCATCTGAGTTACCTGCGTCGCATCGCATCCGGGTGATCCTCTCGCGAACGGCTCTTCATGATAGCGAACCAGGACATCGTAAAATTGTGCCATGGCGCACAGGGGCTGGAACGAATGAGGCCGAAGAGCCACCATGTCCGCTGCAACTGGCCCCGAGGCAGGCGCCCATTCCACCTGTCGCCAAAAATGATAGGGGATTTGTTGGGCGATGCCATCTCCCTGAAAGTCCTCTACTTCTGCCCGCTCTGACTCGCGCGCCCCCTCTCCCTCTGGCATTAAGGTCGTTTCCTGGGGGGGGGGGCATCAGCGTCTACATCGCTCGCCCATGGCGAGCGAATTCCTCCGGGAGGCGGTGGACAGGCGCCAGGGCAAAAAGTGCCTGGAGATTTCGATGGCTGACGAAAGTAGGAGGCCGACAAGCATGCGCGGACGCCGTTTGCCAGGGAACCGTCGATGCAAAAATCGCGCGGGCGCGCCCCGCGCGCGCCGCCGCGGAGCCTCTGCCCCCTCGATTGGTAGACACGCGAAATCGGCGCACGCGCGCGGCCATCACGCCGCCCCCAACACAGCTAACACCGCCGAGAAAACGGCCGCGGAAACATTCAACGCGATGGCATCTTGGCAGCGGCCCCCGGGGGGGGCCCGAGGGGGCCGCGAGAGGGCTTCACGCGCGGCCCAAAGAGCCCCCTGTCGAGCTCCATAGCGCGGATATCGAAACGACGCCCTCAGGCGCCCCTCGGGGGCCGCTCGCACTGCCCCGGAAAGACCCGGGAGGACCCCAGGAGAGCCGCGAAAGGGACCCAGGGTGGGGCCCCCGGCGAGCCCCTGGCCCAACTCCACGGCGCGGAGTTCGAAGCGATCACTTGCAAGACGGCCCCAGAGGGCCCCGCGAAAGCCTTCTCAAGGAAGCGAGAAGGCCCCGAGAGGGTTCCATTAATCACCCTCCGACTATTATCCCACCCAGGGCACCCTGCCCCGCGCGCGCACAACGGGCCGCGCTCGCTACAATCCCCCCCCCCCCCCCATCGCGCGCAAGGAGGCCGCTGCCCCTGGAAATCCGCCCCGCAGCCCTTCCTGCTGCAGCCCCCCCCCCCCCCCCCCCCCCCCCATCGCGCACGAGGGCGGCGCCTGCGCTTCGGCGCCCTCTCGCGCGCGAGGGAACGACGCCGCGACGGCCCCCCCTGCACGCGCGCGCAAGGCAATGCCCCCCCCCCCCCTGCACGAAGGAGCCGTCGCTGTTGCAATCCCGCCCAACGCGCGCATAGCCGTCGCTGCTACCTTCCGCATTCGCGACGAACGGCGCTTGCTCTAACTTAGAACCCCACGCACGAAGCGACGTCTCCACCCCGCCCCCGCCCGCGCACAAAGAACAAGTTTTCCGCGGACATCTTGCGACAGAGAGGACAAATTGACCACGCGCACCCTCGCGCGCGAGGGCCTATTTTCGCCCACCCCCCAACCGCGAACGAGAGGCAATTGCCCCTGCGGCCCCTCGCGACCAGGAGACAGCTTCGGCCCATGCCCCTCATGCGCGGCGAACCTTTTCAGCTACAACCCCCCAATCATACACGAAAGACGACCCTCCTTTGCGGCCATTGCCTCTGTCTCCAGGCCCTTTGCCTCTCGGCAGCTTAGTTCAGCTAGATACTCCAAATCCTTCTCGAGCCACTCAGCCCCTGACAGAAATCCAGAGGCTTCTTCCGAAACAGCGGTCTGATTCAGACGCGCCTGCATGGCTGCTCGTTGAAAGCCCCCCCCTCATTTTGCAGTTTCCGAATATGTTCGTCCTTCTCAGCCATGATAGCCCGCGCCTTTGCAGTCACCTCCTCGCGCAATTCTCTCTCGTTCACTCGCGTTTTCTCTGCCCCTGCTGGCTGCCGCCCCAACAATGCAGGGCGACGACGGTTGCGTTCTTTCGTGTCCAGGAATCCAGCGCACAGCCAGTTGAGGTTGCAATATCGACAGGCATGCGAGCATCCTGCACATACGGGCCTCTGGCACGACCCTACTGGCCCGTGCCTTCCCAAGACAATTAGTCTCAGCAGTGGAATAGCATCCTGGCGCTGTGGCCGAAGATTCATCATTGACTGAACTGCCTGCTGAAGACGGCCTGCAGGACCCCACGCAGCCCTTGGAACTGGGGCGGAGACTAGGCGCAAGAGGTGACACTGACGGGGATATCCTTCCCGTTCCGCCATTGCGGTGATAGACATTGGGGGTCGGTGATGGTCACGGCTCTGACTCTCAACAAGAGGCCGTAATCCCTTGAACGGAAATTCTGTCTCTTCAGGGATCTCGCTTGGGGGGGCGCATATCCTCTACCTCATCTTCGGGTGTTCCATGACGCTTCGGCCCAGGAGTTCAGCGTTTTGCCTGTTCTCCGTCAGGAGGGGAACTTTCGCACCCTGATTAACCGGCAGAGCGCGTTTGCTCTTCGCGATGATCCCCTTCTTGCAGTAGTCTCATGCTCAGAGCTAAGCGGCGCGAAGGTGACGTGCTCCTTGTGGCCGTGGCGCGGTGTGCCATGGTGCCGTTAAGCTATAGCAGTGATCGCAGCTTTCGGAGGAGGGCCAGCCGGCCGGCGGGCGCACGGGCGGGCGGGGGCTTCCTTTCTGCGACCGCAGCCAGAACAGCTCCAGCAAAGTTAGTCCCGTGAAGCTGAAGCACGGCAGGGGCGCGACTAAAACAACTCCCCCCCCGACCTCCCCGGCGAGCCCCACTCGCGCGGGCAGACGTCAACGATTGGTCAACGCCCCAAATTGTCCTATAAAGCGGCCCGTCGCGCCGCGCCCGGCAGGCGGCGCCCCCGCCACCAAGCTCGCAGCGCCCTGGGGCGCTCAGAGCATGGCACATCGGCGCCAGGTGACTCACCCCATCCGTTCTGAACGCACTTAGACCGCCACTGATCGCCTCGAGGAGGCACCTGCGGCATTGCCGCAGATCCCCTCTCAACCCCACCTGTATAGTCGTCGCGGCCCCAGGTTTGTCGCCGCGCCAGATGCCCGAGCTCCAGCTCCAAGACGACCGCCAGTTCCTGGCGCTTGCCTGCCAGGGAGAAGAATCCGCATTATGCTGCTCGTTGTCGGTATACTCGCGCCGTGGAAACGCAGTATCCGCGGGGTGCCGCGAGGTGCCGGCCTCGTTTTGCCAGGGCGCGCCCAGCCGGAAGTCTCTCGCAGCCGGCGGCGTCGCGGCCGCGGTGGAAGAGGCAACCCCAGCGCGCGAGCGCGCGC